TTAATGATAATAATAATAATATAATTAATAATAATAATAATAATAATAATAATAATACTAATAATACTAATAATAATAATAATGACGATGATATTATTATTATTAAAGATGATAATAGCAATAATAATATTATTATTAATGATAATAATAATAATATAATTAATAATAATAATAATAATAATAATTATTATTATTATTATTACTGTAATTATAAAAATAATAATGTTAATAATATTACTACTACTAATAAAAAAAAAATAAATAATAAAAAAATTAACAGCAACCGAAGGGAATGAAAGCAATAAAATCATGTTTTGTTGCATATTTAATAATAATACAGCAAAAATAAAAATAATAAAAATTTATTAAAAATGTATAAAAAAAACAGCAACAGAAGTAATTAAAGCCTAAAAATAAACACAAGCTGACATCTACACACGGTTTGACTTTAATAATCATAATTAAAGCTGTATGGTTGCACAAATGCAAGTGCTGACTGTTAACAGTTTAATAAACAATCAGTATTATCATTCAAATGCTGGGTTATTTCAGCCAAATTCTGTTTGTAATGCCGACTAACTGCTGGGTTCATTTTTAAAATACATGACTCGGATGGGTGTAAATAACCCAGCAGTGTGACAAAATACTTAAATATTTCCCCTGAAGCCCACAGTATCAGATGTCAAACACAACCAGCCAATGGGTGGCCGGGGATTCTGTTTTATTGGCATGAGGAAGTTTAGACTGTGTTAGTTTCTCCTGCTAATAATTCAGATGGAGAGACACTGAACTCAACAGCAGATCAGAATAGAAAAGTAAGTAACAAACAGCTTCATTAATACAGCTAGTAAAATAACATTTATTTTTAATGTAATATACTTGTTACACTGTAAAAAAAAATCCTGGTTGACTTAAATTTTTAAGCTGAAGATTTGTCTTAAAACCATTTCTAAATTCTGTTCTAATTTCCAGCAAATGAATGAATGAACAATAATAATGAAGTGTGATCAAAAACCTGAGTTATATCCTAAAACACATGCTGTGCCCCATATGGTCCGAAACCTGACATGTGGGCAAATCTAAGCTTGTTTTTAATAAAACAAATATAAATATGGATATAATAAATAATACTGCTAATAATAATAACATTATACAAAAGCAAATTGTCACGAATAAACTGAAAATGGTTTTTATATAGGCTAGAAAATAATATGTTTTGTAATATTTTAATCCTTCATATTTATATCCTATATCTATCCTTATTTTATCCTTTATATTTCCTTCAAATTTAAACACTTTTTCATATGTAAAGATATTTGCGTATTGCTCTACATCCTGTGTGTATTAAGCAGTGTGTAAGCAAGGTGCACAACTAATGCGCTATGCGCTGGACAATAGTTGGTTTATTAAAAAATCTATTATAGTTCCTCAAAATAGCAACGCGCCAGCAATGCGCCTCAACACGCCTCCTTTTTTAGACCAGAACGCCTATGAGAGCACATGTAAGTGCAAATACATTTTAAACAGTGTGGTGCAAAACGTCAAAACGACTCTTGCGCCAAGCTGAAACTAGCAAACAACTATTGTGTCATGCCTTGTGCTGCATTGCGCCGTGTGTATGATAGGTCCTGCCGGTTTGTTTACTTGCGGAAGTTCATTGCCATTTTCCCTCACGTGAATTCTGACCAATCCATAAGCAGTTTAGGGACTATGTTCTGGCCAATGAGAGATGTGGGATGTGACTGCATTTCGGTTCTTTTCAGCTGGTTCGTACCAAAGCCAGCAGTGTGGTGTGAAAATGACCCAACACTCAAAAAACTAATTTTTTTTGCTCGTTCAAGCTACTTATTTAAAATAAGCTGAATCAACACAATTATTGAGATTTCATAGGGACAACTTATATTATTTATGTTTAATCCACATAAACATGTTAAAAGTGTTAAGTTAACTTATTTGATTTGTGTTGGGACAAAATAAATGAATAATGTGAAACCCTGCATTTTTTACAGTGAAAGATGGCAGAAAATACAACAATGTATCATTTATTCAATAGTATCTGGATGCAGCCTTTATAGTGCAAGCTGAGACTGCATCACTCAGCGATGCAATGTCAGACACAATGCACTCAAATGGAGCCAGTGGCGTCACTGTGACGGGTAGGGTTAGGGGTGGGGTTAGGTGAGCCCATTAAAAAGCATTGGATGCAGCCCAGATTGCACTGCACCAGGTCTGCAGCCAGACCCCTCTCAATTTATTGCCTTTGGTCCGGACCAAATGAACCGAACTACATATGTGAAAGCACCCTTAAACTACTTATTTAAAATGAGCTGAAACAACACAATTCTTGAATTGATTTATGTTCAATCAAATTAGTTGTTCAACTAACTTAATTCCTTCATGTTTTCCTAACACAAATCGATAAAGTAAGCTTAGTGTTTACAAATTTAAGTGGCTTGAACATAAAGCAATTCAGTTGTCCCCAAGAATTGTGTTGATTCTTCTAATTTTTAAATAAATAGTTTGAACAAGGGCGACGCAGTGGTGCAGTGGGTAGCATGTTCGCCTCACAGCAAGAAGGTCGCTAGGTTGCTGGTTCAATCCTCGGCTCAGTTGGCATTTCAGTGTGGAGTTTGCATGTTGCATTTGCATGGGTTTCCTCCGGGTACTCCGGTTTTCCCCACAGTCCAAAGACATGCTGTACAGGTGAAGTGGGTAGGCTAAACTGTCCATAGTGTATGAGTGTGTGTGAATGTGTGTGTGGATGTTGCCCAGAGATGGGTTGTGGCTGGAAGGGCATCCGCTGTGTAAAACTTGCTGGATAAGTTGGCGGTTCATTCCGCTGTGGCGACCCCGGATTAATAAAGGGACTAAGCCGAAAAGAAAATGAATGAATGAATGAATAGTTTGAACAAGCAGCAAACATCATTGTTTGAGTGAATAATTTTGATTCTTCTCTAATACAGTGAATATATCAGCGTAATTACGCTGGAGGGATTTAGTTCTGGGTGTGTGACTATTCTAAAACATTAAACTGAAAACTCTTTTGTTTGGAGCCGTATTTATCATTGCATTGAAATGCAGTTTAGTGTTTTATGAGAATGCCGAGCACATTACTCAGCAACAAAAATTACGACCTCTGTCGAAGCTACTGTCGTTACACTTTACGACTTCATTAGATGCCATAGATGATCGCATTTTCAGTTAATGAAAAAATGTTTAGAATGTTCAATGCACCTATTCAAACTTTACGATCCAACAAACCCACAAAGCAGATTTTACCTGGAGCTGATCATCAAACTAAAAGTTCCTTCGCTTTTCAGCAGGTTATGCATGGCTTTATTTCCTTTTCAGTTATCAAATAATAAAAAAAGTCCACATTTTAAAGGCGTTCCAAGCATAAAAGGCTACATTTAGACAGTTCTTGTCAGATTATCAGTAGATCTATTGAATTGCACTATTGCACTGTACAAAGATATCCATATTTTGTGATTCATGTTTTCCCCTGTTTTTTCCTGCTTTTGAATCACATCATGGGATCTTGATCTTTCTTCCAACAACTTTTACCCTTGAAAAGTAAAAAAAAAAGTGGCTTTTATGATCATTTGTAATAGATTGCAGTGCAATATTGTCTATGTTGGTGTTGCGTATTAAGCTGCAAACACCTTGTAATACACTGCCAGCACATTTTGTAGAGTTGTATTTTATGGCACATTGTTTAAATAGCATTCGCGCCGTTTTGTGGACTCATTGCTGTGCTGGTCTATAAAGGAGGTGTGTTGGCGTGTTGCTATTTTGAAGAACTGAAATAGACCATCTCCAGGTTGGAGGAATGTTCTTTCGTCAGGTGGAGGAGTTCAAGTATCTTGGGGTTTTGTTTTCGAGTGAGGGGAAGATGGAGCGTGAGATTGACAAGCGGATTGGTGCAGCGGTAGCAGTAATGTACCGGTCTGTTGTGGTGAAGAAGGAGCTGAGCCGAAAGGCAAAGCCAGTAAATCTACATTCCTACTTTCAACTATGGTCATGAGCTTTGGGTCATGACCGAAAGGACAAGATCTCGGATACAAGTTTCCTTCGCAGGCTGGATCCTCAAAGGGTGAGGAGCTCTGACACCCGGGAGGCAAGACGAGTGACGGACATTAAATATCTGTGAAATTGGCAGATATTGATCTAAAGTTGAATAACTTTTCTTCTCTTTTGGCTTCTTTTTTTTGCCTCCCTCTCCTGGAATGTATCTTACTTCTTTTTCTAAATGCTACCTCCTGTGACCTGTCTTCCCCAGAAAATTGTGATGTT